TTGTTCGTTAACTCATTAACTTTAAGCCAAGGAAATAACATTCCTAGTTTCTTAAGATCACATTGCCAACACTTTATATGTTGCAGAGCTAGCGACGTTTCAACTGTGTATGATTAAGTTGCGTAACAGTTCTAACTAGCCAAAACTGTAGCAATGTCAGGCTTTACATGCCTTTTAACATCGAGGAGACGCATGCACACAGCAATAAGGAGTCACTTAACAACCTCACAGTTCAAACTAAACAGAACTCACCCAACTTGATGAAGACACTGACTCCCTATTTAAAGAAGACATAGTGAAACAACGAGTATCTGCATTCAACAACAAGACTCCTCGTGAGGAAGCCTGGCACAATATACGGTTAACTGTGGATACAGCTGTGAAGGCTGTTAATAACCTAAAACCAAATGTCATTAAGAGCCAGTGGATTTCTACTACCTACCTCATCCGCAGTGATTAAGGCAAGAAGACTGGTTTCGGTGAGCTCCGAATATGGTGAGGAGCGAAAGCTACTCAAACGCAAACTAACGAGAAGTCTTCGCAACAACCATGAACAGTGGTGGGCAACAAAAGCGAAAGAGATGGAAAAAGAATCGGCGATAGGTAACACCATACAACTATTTAGACTTATCAGGGAAACAGGTGGCAAATGGCAAATGATAAGTGAAACGATCTCCGAGAAAACTGGCACCCTAATTAATTTGGCTCCCAGAATAGACGACTGGAACGTTGGAAGTAACACTTTGAAGAGCAATTCACAATTGGCCTACAGCCATGCTGAATTCATCCAGCATCAAACACCTCCCTGAATAGGATACAGACACAGGTCCTCCATCCCGAACTGAAGTTACGAAAGCTGTGAGTAATCTGAAACGAAGCAGAGCAGCGGAACCTAATGGTGGAACAACTACAGAGGTGTTTAAAGAAGTCGGAGACAGTTTACTTCCTGTGTTAACTGAGGTATTAGGCAGCGTCTGGGAATCAGAGAAATGCCCCATCGGACTGGTGTAAGTCATTGATTATCCGGATATACAAGAAGAGAAGACAAGTGTTTCTGTGATAATCACAGGGGCATTAACTTGACTAATACGGTTTCTAAAGTCCTAGGCCCAATAATAATGCGTAGACTAAGTGGTGCTCATGAGGCACAAGCACGAGTGAACCAGACAGGCTTTGGAGCAAGAAGAGGGTGCCTTGATCATATCTTCACCCATCGACAGATTCTGGAACGGAACATGGGCATACTTACCGTTGGCGTACAGTATAACAATCGTCACATTTGTTGACGTGAAAGCGGCATTCGATTATGTCGTCTGAGAGGTGCTATGGCGATGCTTGGCTGTCATGAAGGGAATGGTGGGAAAATACATCCCACTGATCAAGGCACTCACTCTACTCGAACTCATGCAGTCACCCAGCCAAGCGAGAGCTTAAGGCGAGCTGTCATCTGAAGTGGTGACAACTAGTGGTGTCCGTCAGGGATGGCCACTATCCCCATATCTGTTTAATTTCATCATAGATGTACGTGCTAATGGACTTAACCCTAATTGAGGTGAGTGACTCAAGGACTGACTTCTTACCACCAGGGAATAATAGTCTCCTTGACTTAGAATATGCAGATGATGTAGTCCTTCTAGGTGAACACGCTGACAAAGTAGAGCAGAGTATTCTGAACACCTTGAGCTTGAGCAGAAATCTTCGAATGTTTCCATCATGCGACCGATTCTCCCCTGCCATATTAGTAATATTAGCTATTGATTTTATAACTCGTGCGCATTGTGGATAGATTCAATTATAAATAAGAACAAATTAGTTCAGCGAAGAGTCTCTTTTCGGCGAATTCATTCACTTAGCTGTACAGTCGCAAATATATATACAATTTATTTTGTGTGTGCGTGTGTACATTAGGTTAGTCAAAATCAAAATAACAGTTAGTGTGGGTTACATCATCAAAATAATAAAGAAATTAAAATGTGTGATTAATAATCAAAGTTGTAAATAAGTGGGGTGAAGATTGGTAAGATGTGAGTAGGGTTACGTAATATAGACATGCCTTCTAGACAAATCAATAAAGACTTGAATAGATGTGAGTTGTCATCACTATACTGCCTGCTTTTTATTATTGGATATTTCACTTACAACTATGACCTTGTGATGTGAGCTGTATTCATGAAAAAGTGAATAATAAATTTGAAGGCACTGCAGAATGAATCATTTTTTCAAAATGCAATTAATGGACGCACAGTTTCCTGCCTGGTGGCTACTCCTTCTTATGCTATGGTTAATCGGATTGATCGCGGCAAATTTTCCGAATGGATTTCGTAACATGATCAACAGGATTCGAAACGAGATAAATGGGATTAGGAATATAGGTGGGAGAGGGTAAGTAGATGAAAGTAATATGACATTTTCCTAATTAACTTATCTACATAGATATTATTGGATCCAATTTGTTTGAACCAATTCTGCGTTTTTTGAAGTAGTTGGAAAAAAACGCAAACATTTGTGTTACATGTCCAACTATGTTAGTTATATTATTTCAATAAAATGTTTCCTTGGATAATTTACAGTGTTCTAAAGTGTTATCGTCGGATTCAAGTTGTTTACGCTTTCGTGTCTGTGTTATTTATGCATGTGTTTGACCATGCGATTTATTGTTTGTGAATGCGTTACTAAGACAATGCATACGCCCCGCTTCCCACCAGGGCAACGTCATCTTTTGTAATTAGCTGAATACCGGTAGTCAAGAATATATGCCCATTGTGTTCTGATGGCATGTAATTTCCACTTATACGTGTCGAGATTATTTAGAATACATCTACTCGCCCACAAACACTCGAATTTCTCATCCGACTTCAGTCTTCTTTCAACCAACCGACTCTCCCTATTTCTGTTTAATGTCATCATAGATGTATGTGCGAATGGACTTAACCCTAATTGAGGTGAGTGACTCAAGGACTGACTTCTTACCACCAGGGAATAATAGTCTCCTTGACTTAGAATATGCAGATGATGTAGTCCTTCTAGGTGAACACGCTGACAAAATAGAGCAGAGTATTCTGAACACCTTCAGCTTGAGCAGAAATCTTCGAATGTTTCCATCATGCGACCGATTCTCCCCTGCTGATGTCAAATGTAAGATGATGGATGCCGAAAGACTGTAATGCGCTGCACTACGTCGACTACTCCTAACTTAAAGATGGACAGGCAGACAGGAGTGAAGCAGTAGAACGTGTTCACCACTTCACTTATTTGAGGAAGTGCATCAACCAACGCAGCTGGCTGACCGCTGACGAAATCTCAGCACACAGATACACAAGGCTTGTTCCGCATTTTTCAACCAACCCAACTTACGCCATCTCTGTCCGGCTGAGTAGACGGGACATCCCACAGGCTGGCATATGTACAACTCACTAATTCGCTCAATCCTCCTTCACCGCCAGGAGACATAACCATTCGAATTGGAAGATATGAAAAGGCTAGCTAGCTGGCTGTGTTTGATCATAGGTATCTGCGTTCTATCTCCCTTCCTGTTGGGTGGTGGGTATGACAGCGTGAGCGAGCAATATCAAGGTGAGGCATCAGCGGACTGCTAAGAAAAGAAGGAGGAGGAGGGGAAATCAATCGACAATGAGGCGGTGATGCAGTTGCATAGACTGAGCTCGATGGTTAGGACATGTGTTGCTCACGCATGCATGCCTACCTGCCAAGCAATCGCCTCCCTCGACCGACGGGCGAGGCAGTGTTAGCCACTGACCGACATACGATGGATGGATCAGGTTGGAAAAGAGTTAGCTAACTAGTGGTGGTGATGATGATCAAAACAAAACATGACTTCATCATTAGTCAATGAATTCCACAACAGTTAGTTTAAGCCAGCCAACCAGGCAGCTAGCCGTTCACATATGGAGGTGTTGACTTCCCCATTGACTGCCTGGTTGGAGTCCTCGGGATGGTGGGGGAGCCAATGAAGGCTGAAGGCGATCGGTGATACAGTTGGCTCAAAATCAGTCTCGTTGGTCGTTGGCGCTGGTGCAGATGCATTCACTCACTGTGATCTGTCATGTCCAATAAAACTCTGCCGTTGTTCTTCCATGTTACTACTATTCTTTTTGCCTTGCTCACACTTCTGTTTATTATCTCTCTCTCTCTCTCCTTCTGTCTTCTGAATCTCTGTTTACTGTGTTCTGTTGGTTTGTGTGAAACATGGAGGAGGGAGTGTGGCAAGTGGAACTGCTGGACATCTGTAGTGCAAAGTAGCAAAGCTCTACGTTGAAAGCAGTCTGTCAGTCGAATTCATATAGTTTAAGGTGCTTTTTATTCTTGTGGAAATTTAAATGTTAGTTAGTCTTTTGGAGAGTTGCAAACCTTCCTTAAAGGGGTATCAATCACAAGGTCAATCAATGTGGCTTCACCACCTCACAGCTCACACTAACGAAATCTCTGAATCAATTCAGTCGGTTAGTCAGTCAGGGAGTCAGTCAAACAGTCTGCATAGTTTATATGGTTTAAAAAAGAACAGTTAAAGTTTTGAATGATTAGCAGTCAGATAACTGATAATATTGTGGTGAGAGCTGTCTACTACTAGCCAAATTGGTAGACAGTAATTGACGTCAATGTTTATGTTCTCAAGATTTGTCGTGAGAAAATATGAACAAAGACTGATTCAAAAACCGACCACAGCAGACTTTGCATAGGCGGATACAGTCAACATATAGATGATCTGACACTGAAGAAACAGTCACAAAGAGATGGAAGATTAACTAACGTTCAGTGAGAAACAACCACCAGTCAGAAGACTGTGTTTGTTCGCTTAACTAAACTATAATAATGTACATGAAAATATATAAATATGCTTTGATTTCCTTAATAAACGATCTGTTGCCTGGCCCTTGTCTTCTGTTGTTACAATATTTTATTGCTCTCATAGCATAAATTTAAGGTGATTACACATACATCACATATATATATATATATATATTTATGTACATATGACTTACCGGTATTGCGTTTCTTGCAGGATTTTGAGCAGATAGACCTGGAAATGTATTCATTTGCGACGACTGTAATTCCTTGTTGTTGTTGTTGTTCACTATGTGATTGGCTTTTAAAGACACCGATGTCACAGTAGAAGAAGAAGACGAGGCCGAAGTAGACGAAGACGGGGAGGAAGGTGTGTTGTTAGTGCACACACATTTGGCATGACTACTTGACAAATCAGAAGTTGTTGCTGTTGTTGTTGTTGTTGTAATCGATGTGGATTCTGATGTGATGTTAGAATTAGGCATTGCACTGAATACAGAGGCATTCTGTACATTCAAATCATTGGCAGTCGAATTCGGTCCAGTTAATAGCCAGGAGAGAGCCGATGATGATGACGGTGATAATGGTGACGACGGTGTTGAATTCGGTTGAAATAATAATGGTCTATCCTCCGGTTGTAATTCTTGCCAATTGGACGATGATTCATAAGTTGAAATGAATGTAGGATTTCTTGAAATTATAAGAAGATAAAACAAACAAACAGACTAAGTAAGTAAGTGAGTAACTAACTAACTAACTAATGATAAACGTATAACACCACACGTTGTCTGTGATCTTGCACATGTCACTTAATAAAGATGTAACACACACACACACACTCTCTCTCTCTTTACAAATAGCCTATAATTATTCAATAAGTATTCAAGGGTTGATTTGTACCGACTTGGTATGTTTCTAGCTCGATCATAAAATGGATATCAGGGAACGAAATATATATATTCCCGCGTATGTCTGTCCTGGACCGACGTGAAGAACCTAGAAGACCTGAATTTCACGCGTGGATGATTTATGTTTTTGATATCACACAAAATCGAAGACTTATAAGTGAAAACCGACAAACTGGTCGAAGAAGCAGCCAGAGAAGACAGGACTCCAGGTGAACATAGACAAGACGGAGGTTATGAAAATAACTAACCAACCAACCAACCAACAACAACAACAGCAACAACATCCACCAGCGCCAATCACCATCAACCCGAGGGATTTGAGCGAGGTTACTTCATTCACTTACCTAGCTAGGGAGCATTGTCTGTCTCAACTGCAGGAGGAACGGACGAGGATGTCAAATCGAGCGAGAATCGGGAAGGCGAGAAACACATTCATCAACCTGAAACAACCAATCTGGAAATCTTCGTCACTCAGCAACACTCAACAACGAAATTCGGATTTTCAATACAAACGTCAAGTCAGTCAGTTCTTCTATACGGATGGATCAGAAACTTGGCGGCGGGTCACAAAGAATATTTCCAACAGCCTGTTGCACACCTTTATCAACAACAACTGTCTTCGCTCTATACTCAAGATCAGATGGCCAGAAAGAACAAGAAGCAACAAGAAACTATGGGAACGAACAAACAAAACAAGAACCAATCGCCCAACAAATATGCAGGAGAAAGTGGAGATGGATTGGACACTCGCTGAGGAGGCCACTCGCTGGGTGCCATCGCTCGAGTGGAACCCGAAAGGGGAACGGCGAGTGGGACTTCCAAGGATGACATGGAGGAGATCGTGTGAAGAGGAAATGAAGCAGTATGGACTAACACGGATGCAAGTGAAAAGTACAGCAGAAGACAGAAGCAAGTGGAGACGTGCAGTTGAAGCCCTATGTTCCACTAGGAACCCAAGGGAACAATAATAATAATAATGTCTGTTTTCGACATAGAACTTTGCACCAGTGTGCAGCAGTTCAAGTCGCCATACTCCACTCCATGTAGCACACAAAGCAAGACAAGAAAGTCAAAAAAACTACAAAATATAGGCAGTAAACAGAGATATAAGGCAAAAAGACTAGTAATATCGAAGAACAATACAGTTTTATTGGAAATTATAATTCACAATGAGTGGATGCATCTACGCCAGCGCCAGCCATCACCTAGAACGACTTTGAGCTAGTCATATCACCAATAATTGTCTCCAGCCATTGGTGTTTACTGTCCCGAGGACACCAACCAGGAAGTCTACACCTTCCTACGTGACCGGTTGGCTGGCTGGCTTAAACTAACTGTTGTGGATTTCATTGACTGATGATGAAGTCATGTTTTGGTTCGACCACCACCATCACCGCCACGACTGGCTAGCTAACTCTTTTCCTTTCAGATGTATCTTGTATCAGCTAACACTTTCGGTTGTCGAGGAAGGCGATGGCTAGGCTTGCGTAACGCGTGTCCTAACCATCCATCTCAGTCGATGTAGCTTCACAGCCTCATTGTCGATTGACTTCCCCTCCCACCTACCTAGCACTCGACCGAAGCCTTAACTCAACACTGCTCACATTGTTGTACCACTTCACACGAGAGATAGAACGCAGGCACCTATGATCAAAGACAGCTATCCTGTCTTTTCATGCATTCCACTCCCAATGGCCAGGTGTCAGAGGTAGCCATAAAGGAGGACGGAACGGACTGCTGAGTAGTACACACGTCCTTTGATCCATAGCCAGCCAGAGATGGCGTAAACTGGTATATGCGAAACGAGTCTTCTGTATCCATGGTGAGATTTCGCCAGCGACCAGATCAACTCATTGTCGTTGGCTGGGCTGATGCAACTTTTCAACTGAGTGAAGTGGTCGAGGTGATGAACATCGAGAAGATGGAGACGGAAGTGATGAGGATAACAAACCACCACCAACACTAACTGCAACAACAACAACGACGAGTACGTATCACCATCAACTGGAGAAAGAGGTTGACAGAGGTTATTTTCTGCCTTTACTTATCTAGCCTAGGCAGCCAGCATCGTTTCAACCACAGGCAGTTGGAACGAATGAGGATAACAAAACCAGCCAGCCAGCCAGCCAGATTCGAAAATGCAAGCTGGCTAGCTGGTTAGCTGCATACTGAAGAACAATTGGCCAGCCAGCCAGCCAACAGGCCGGCGAGAAAGAATTAGCAACACAATAAACCGTGGCAATGAGCGAATCAATCAAGAGTTGTAGATTGCTGAACAAATATGCAGCAGAAACTGGATATGAACTGATACGGTATACGTTGAAGAGACTGTCGAATGACATCGCGTGCAACGCAGACCATAGCTCGAGTGGAAGCCGAGTAGGAAACGACGAGTGGTTGGTCGGTGCTATTGTCACATGAGGGAGATCGTGTGAGTTGGAGGGAGGAGGAGGAGGAGATGAGAGATTATAGGCAATCATGGATCCAACTGAGGGGGACAGCACAAAATTCAAAAAAAAACAAGGAGTTGTGTTGTTGAAGCCGATTTTTATGTTCCACCCGGAGCCAAAGGGGATAATAATAATAATAATAATAATAATAATATAATTTTAAACATACGCATGATCAAAGTGAGCCGATAATTGATCACAATTACTCTCAATGATAGTTGTTGGCAATAGTCCAATTGAAGTATCGGATAGAGTTAAGCAAGCAGGTAGATTCGATATACATGAACTGGACTTTTCATTGACAGCAGATTTACACTGAACATTTACAACATTATTATTATTGTTCATACAATTTGTAATATCAATTACAGGTTGACAAGTACTACTACTAGAAAATGATTCCATCGCGTCCATTTCAGCTTCACTTGGTACATGTTCATTAGCATTGATAATAGCGATAGCATAACCAAGTGAATGTGCCTTTTGTACTAAAGGTATCTGACTGCCAGATCGAAGACCATGTTCTGGATGTAGTAGAAGTCGTGGAGACCATACACCCGCTTGAGCAACACCTCCACCTTGAAGTAGGACAATTATAGGCCCTCTGTGAGTGAAAAAGTTTGCTGAGTGTAAAACTCGCATACATTTTGTTGGATGTCCAGGAATCTGTTGAATCATTTCAACAACAAAAAAGAAAAGACAGAGAAAAATACAAGCATAATAGAGATGCTTACAATTATTCTATAACTGTTATAACCACAATAGACACAATATTACTAATCAGTTATGCTGCTGGTGTGGTTGTGTTCTCTGAGCTGGCTGGATGGTTAATTTGCGAAGCTTTCATCACCCTTACTAGGTGACATCTTCCTTCAGCGCATACTTCAATTTGAAGTGAGCTTATGGGTTCCTCCTCCACGAGCTTATTAATCATCTCTCCCGGTCGGTGACCTTGGACGTGATTGGTTGTTTTTGTGTGTTTTCACACCTTCTAGGCTATCTGCATTGGAATTGATGGTTTCTTTGAGAAATACAAATAGCCTAGGTGTGAAAACACACAAAAACAACCAATCACGTCCAAGGTCACCGACCGGGAGAGATGATTAATAAACTCGTGGAGGAACCCATAAGCTCACCTCAAATTGAAGTATGCGCTCAAGGAAGATGTCACCTAGTAGGGCGATGAAAGCTTCGCAAATTAACCATCCAGCCAGCTCAGAGAACACAACTACACCAAAATCATCCACCTGAGCTACAAATCTTCACCATATCTAAATCAATTATGCTTCGTTAAACAAAATCCTAATGGAATGGCTAAGTCCGTAGAAATAAAGTAAAAAATCATATTAATTTGTTTATAAGTCAAACCACACACAAACGCTGAGTGGAACAGTATTACTGATACATGGATAGCAAAGTTTCCAACACAGTTTATTTATTTATTGTTCATAATCATATCATCAATTATAGCGAGACAACTTCGAAACTTTCGTTTTATAGTTTTCCTTATTCCCTCCTACTCGTCGTCAGGTGGGGGCGGTAGTAGAATTTTCCAGATGCGATGATGGTGATAATGATAATAATAGTGATATTAATGATGAAATTTATGTGAAACATGCATAGCATAATGATAACACCAACAATGAGGAATATAAGTCCTCAGTAGTACTTCCATACACCGGAGGAACCTCAGAAACCTAACGGTGGTGATTTTTTGACAATGCAGGCAGGAATAAAAGCGGCTGGCATTCACACCAACACACTCAATTAGAAACAATCTTTGTCGTCTAGGGGTTCCTGCCGATGGATCCAATTAAACCAAATAATTTAGTTTATTTAATACCCTTCTGTTCAGCTACACACAAACATACAACAGGATGATGGGACAGTTCTAAAATCTAATAAAGGAGGGTGGAGGGAGTGAGAGATTGATACCGGGAGCTTTATTTATTGAATCAGTTGCAAACACGCGTAATAAGAATGACTGAACATCTTTGTACCCAGATATCTGGAAAATTCCACCACCGCCTCCACCCTACGAATAGAATAGAATAAAGAAAACTATGAAACGAAAGTTTCGAAGTTGGGGGATTATAATTGATGATATGATTATGAACAATAAATAAATAAATTGTGTTGGAAACTTTGTCATCCAGTTAATAATAATGATACTGTTTCACTCTGTGTGCGTGATATCTAATAAACAAATTCGCATGGGATTACATACTACCACAGTGTCCAAGTTTTACACATATATTAAAATGAAATCTGATAAAACACATTGATAAAGACAATGCTGTTTTCAGTTAGATCTGACCAGGCTCAACTCTGATATGCATAACTCTAGAAATAAATATTTAAATACAAAGCAGTCATTGTGACATTTGTGTTTGACGCATCACTACTACTACTACTACTATTACAACTAGACAGCTTAGCCAACGTGTCATTGAACATTTCCAATTGTGGTTTGACAATGGACAGGCAAAAGTCATGCGCATCCCCGTTTGTGCCACATTTAGTGGAGAAAACGAAAGCATTCAAGGTGATTCATCACATCCCACCGATGGACTCTCTATTCGTCTACTACGGACGTATAAATGAGGCAACAGACATTCGAACTAGTAAGCCTAAACTAATGCATTCAAAGTGCTCGAATATCTCACTCGTAACATTTCTGAGTAGCACGGGTTCGAATCTCAGAAGGGGGGACATGAGCTTTTCCTAACAGGTTGCAGATACGCCTGCCTTACTGACTGACTGGTGAGTGCCAACTAGCTCGAAACCTAGGTCAGGTAGGGCTTCCTGTTGTCGATTTCCGCCAGCTATCAAATACCATCAAATCAATGTGCACCGTGATGGTGAGCCAGCCTCCTAGTGGCATGGTGGCCACATTGCAAACCAGGGACTGATAGAATTCAGTCTACACCAAACAAAGGACTAGACACAGCACACTAGTTACTAGTGTCCAATCAAAGTCAGATGTATGTACACTGATGTATAGGGGATTAGATGATTTTGTCACTCAAGCTGTCCTTCAATTGTATGAACATTTTTGTTTCGGTAGCTGGATGCAATCTGAATAATGAAATACATAAGCAATCCATGTCATGTAATTCACACATATTTTAGCTGAATAACCGATTCATTATGGATGATAAATGTCATATTAGTAATATTAGCTATTGATTTTATAACTCGTGCGCATTGTGGATAGATTCAATTATAAATAAGAACAAATTAGTTCAGCGAAGAGTCTCTTTTCGGCGAATTCATTCACTTAGCTGTACAGTCGCAAATATATATACAATTTATTTTGTGTGTGCGTGTGTACATTAGGTTAGTCAAAATCAAAATAACAGTTAGTGTGGGTTACATCATCAAAATAATAAAGAAATTAAAATGTGTGATTAATAATCAAAGTTGTAAATAAGTGGGGTGAAGATTGGTAAGATGTGAGTAGGGTTACGTAATATAGACATGCCTTCTAGACAAATCAATAAAGACTTGAATAGATGTGAGTTGTCATCACTATACTGCCTGCTTTTTATTATTGGATATTTCACTTACAACTATGACCTTGTGATGTGAGCTGTATTCATGAAAAAGTGAATAATAAATTTGAAGGCACTGCAGAATGAATCATTTTTTCAAAATGCAATTCATGGACGCACAGTTTCCTGCCTGGTGGCTACTCCTTCTTATGCTATGGTTAATCGGATTGATCGCGGCAAATTTTCCGAATGGATTTCGTAACATGATCAACAGGATTCGAAACGAGATAAATGGGATTAGGAATATAGGTGGGAGAGGGTAAGTAGATGAAAGTAATATGACATTTTCCTAATTAACTTATCTACATAGATATTATTGGATCCAATTTGTTTGAACCAATTCTGCGTTTTTTGAAGTAGTTGGAAAAAAACGCAAACATTTGTGTTACATGTCCAACTATGTTAGTTATATTATTTCAATAAAATGTTTCCTTGGATAATTTACAGTGTTCTAAAGTGTTATCGTCGGATTCAAGTTGTTTACGCTTTCGTGTCTGTGTTATTTATGCATGTGTTTGACCATGCGATTTATTGTTTGTGAATGCGTTACTAAGACAATGCATACGCCCCGCTTCCCACCAGGGCAACGTCATCTTTTGTAATTAGCTGAAAACCGGTAGTCAAGAATATATGCCCATTGTGTTCTGATGGCATGTAATTTCCACTTATACGTGTCGAGATTATTTAGAATACATCTACTCGCCCACAAACACTCGAATTTCTCATCCGACTTCAGTCTTCTTTCAACCAACCGACTCTCCCTATTTCTGTTTAATGTCATCATAGATGTATGTGCGAATGGACTTAACCCTAATTGAGGCGAGTGACTCAAGGACTGACTTCTTACCACCAGGGAATAATAGTCTCCTTGACTTAGAATATGCAGATGATGTAGTCCTTCTAGGTGAACACGCTGACAAAATAGAGCAGAGTATTCTGAACACCTTGAGCTTGAGCAGAAATCTTCGAATGTTTCCATCATGCGACCGATTCTCCCCTGCTGATGTCAAATGTAAGATGATGGATGCCGAAAGACTGTAATGCGCTGCACTACGTCGACTACTCCTAACTTAAAGATGGACAGGCAGACAGGAGTGAAGCAGTAGAACGTGTTCACCACTTCACTTATTTGAGGAAGTGCATCAACCAACGCAGCTGGCTGACCGCTGACGAAATCTCAGCACACAGATACACAAGGCTTGTTCTGCATTTTTCAACCAACCCAACTTACGCCATCTCTGTCCGGCTTAGAAGACGTGATATCCCACTGACTGTCAGGCTGTCTGTCGACCAAATGTCGTGTGTACTCCTCACTAGTTCGCTCCGTCCTTCTTCATCGCTAGCTGGCTGACTTGCTATGAGACATAACCATTCGAATTGGAAGATATGAAAAGGCTAGCTAGCTGGCTGCGTTCTATCTCTCTTCCTGGTAGGTGGTGGGTGTGACAGCGTGAGCGAGCAATATTAAGGCGGACTGCTAAGAAAGGAAGGAGGAGGAGGGGAAATCAATCGACAATAAGGTTGTGATGCAGTTGCATAGACTGAGCTCGATGGTTAGGACACGTGTTGCTGACACATGCCTGCCGGCCTAGGCATCGCCCTCTTCGACAACGGGCAATGTTAGCTGACATAAGATACATCTGGCAGAGTCCTCGGGATATTGTGGGGAGAACCAATGAAGGCTGAAAGCAATCGGTGGTGTAACTGGCTGAAAATCGTTCGTGGTGATGGCTGGCGCTGGTGCAGATGCATTCACTCTTTGTGATGATTTATCATGTCCAATAAAACTCTGCCGTTGTTCTTCCATGTTACTACTATTCTTTTTGCCTCACTCTCACATCTGTTTATTATCTCTCTCTCTCTCTTCCTGTCTTCTGAATCTCTGTTTATTGTCTTCTCTTGCTTTCTGTGTGGTACAAGGGGATGGGTGGGTGAGAGACGCAAATGGAAATGGTGCACATCTGTGCAAAGTAGTTCTACGTTGAAACTAGTCAGTCAGAATAATTATGTGAGATCAACTCATGAATTCCTTTGAATTCCACCCAAGTAAAAAAAAAGTTTGTTTGTTTCAGACGTGAATTTCAACGGAGTTGATGTGCTATATCAACAAATTTAGCTTCCAACCAGCTTTTCCTTCTCTGATCATACAGATTTTCAAACTGAGTTTCGGTGACTAAGTTAGAGGTATTGTTTAATACATAGAAAAGGTGATAGTGTCTCCTTTTCATGTGCTGAATATTCCACAGATGAGATGTCATATACTAATCTGGATTTACTAGAAATGAGTTTGGTTGATGGTCAAGAGTATATGAATCAACTAATTTTAGTCTAGAATTTTTTTTTATTTCTTTTGATTAAAGGCAGAGCAGAGCTACAAAAATTGATTCGGAAAATTATACAAACATGAGATAACACATTTGAAGATAATAAACGGAGTTCTTCGATAAGTTACTGCCTCATCTTCTACCTGCTGTACCCTACTGGTCACGGCTTCCCACTATAACCCCAGGTTAACTGCCTGAATAGGGGCAGTCGCTAGTGAGCATCAGATTAATTTTCAAGTATTGGTTTTGTAGGGATTTTGTTTGATTGCATGGAGAATTTCATCATGAGTTGACATCAACTAGAGAACCACTGGAGAACCTGGGAGTACTGGACAGCTGTTTCGTCCCAGTTTGGGACTCTCCATCAGTACGCAACCACAGGAGTTCGAATCCAGGACCTTATGGTTACAAGGCGAGCTCGTAGACCATTGAGCCACTGGGACCCGATCCAATGGTTCTTGAATTCACGACATAGCGCAACCATTTCGCAATGTCTTCTTCGATGAGTTACTGCCTGATCTTCAACCTGCTCTATCCTACCAAACAACTCTGTTCCATCAGCCTAGGTTGGGCACTCCACTTCAGCAGTATGCACCCACCACAGAGGGGTTCAAACCCAGAACCTTCCGGTTACAAGACGAACTAGCTCGTGGATCACTAAGTCACTGGGATCCGATCCAACAGCCAGACCATGAATTCCAACTTCTACCAATTCACGCCAATGTCATCACTGGCGAGTATTTTTCCTCACAACCCCGACTTGCTGTATTCCACGGGTGACGACTTCCCACTAGAACTCCAGGTGACTACCTACCTCAATAGGGCCAGTCGCCAGTGAGCATCTCATTGATATTCATTTATTGGTTCGTAGGGATTTGACTGATTGGTTTCAGGATTTAATCATGAACTCACAACAGAGTTCCACCAACCCAAATAACTTCCTATTAGAATTATTATTGTGATACTTATAAAAGTCCACATCCAATTTTCCAGTACTACTTTACACTGTGTCAAGGAGATCATTTAACCGTTTCACAGTGAATGTATAGAATGTATAGTGGCTGGGGGCGGAGGAGCAGTCTTCTTTTTCAACATCTAAACACAATTAGCTGAGTTATTAAATCTGAATAGGGGGTTATTGGAAGACGGAGATTATGATGTGAAACAGAGAGAATGATGAATTCTTAGTTAAACAATTAGTATTTCCAAAATCCTCTTTACTTTACATTCGAAACCCAATAATCTGTTAATTTTTAGTTTTTCTTTACTGTAAGTAACATGATTTATATTTCAGGTTACCACGTATAGTGTGACTAACTGACTGACTGGTTTCAACGTAGAACTGTGGTGAGAGCTGTCTGCTAAGCCAAATTGATAGATAGTAATTTACGTCAATGTCCCCAACGTCCCCAAAATTGGTCATGAGAAAACAGGAACAAGAACAAAGACTGACTCAACCAACAATCAATCACAGCAGACTTTGTTTGCGTAGGCGGATACAAGTCGCAGATAGATAATCTGAACTTCAATAAACGGTCACAAAGGGATGACAGATTTACGTTCAGCCAGAAACCACCAATCAGAAGACTGTGTTTGCCTGCTTACAATAATCTATAATAATGTACATGAGAATCTATAAATATCTGTTGATGCCCTAAATAAACGATCTGTTGCCTGACTCTTGTCTTCTGTTGTCACGGTACTACTTTGCACAGATGTGCACCATTCCCAGTTGCCTCTCTCACCCACCCATCCCCTTGTACCACACAGAAAGCAAGAGAAGACAATAAACAGAGATTCAGAAGACAGGAAGAGAGAGAGAGATAATAAACAGATGTGAGAGTAACATGGAAGAACAACGGCAGAGTTTTATTGGACATGATAAATCATCACAAAGAGTGAATGCATCTGCACTAGCGCCAGCCATCACCACGAACGATTTTCAGCCAGTTACACCACCGATTGTCTCCAGCCTTCACTGATTCTCATCACCATCTTGAGAACTCCAATCGGGCAGTCAACACCTCCCTATGTGAATGACTAGGTGGCTGGTTGAAACTAACTGTTGTAGATTTCATTGACTGATGATGAAGTCATGTTTTGTTTTGACCATTACCACCACCTCCACTAGTTAGCTAACTCTTTTCCAACCTGATCCATCCATCGTATGTCAGTCAGTGGCTAACATTGCCCTGCCCGTCTGTCCAGGGAGGTGATGGCTAGGCATAAATGCGTAACACATGCTCCAAACATCTCAACCGATGTAACTGCTTCGCATTTTCGTCAACGCCTTATCTTCCTTCCTTAGCTAGCACTTTACAGATGCCTCACCTCAATGTTGATGGCTCACTGTGTTACACCTACCACCACCACCACCACCTAAGGTGGCAGACAGAATGCAGACACCTACGATCGAAGACAGCTAGCCTTTATAAAACTTCGTTAATTAGGTATATATGCTGTAATGCAAATAAAGCAGAGCACAAATACACACACACACATCAAATATGATTGTGGCTATGGAGGGCGAACAACAACTAGACAATTCAACAAGCGTACCATTACTGAGCATCTTCCTACCTCCCTTCATGGTTCAGAAAAAGCCAAATATGAAATCTATAAGAAGTTCGATTTTGTCTCATTTGATTCACGATAACGGTCAACAATTTGGACAACAGAAGTGCCTTCAAGCTTATATGTCGCATTCCATAGAACCTTGCGAATGAAATTCGAACTCGCTTGTTACAAATAGCCGAAGCTATGCGAGTTAATTCCAGGGAACAATTCCAGTGTCTGTGAATAGAACAAAAGAAGTTTGTTCTAGCTTCACCTATCTGTTGCTTTGCTTTGCCTAGGTAAAGTCCAATTAAAAATACCCTCCTGCCACCATTTCTTATTTTCCATCTACTCCGTATTTTTATGATATTTATTCAAGCTGTGATTATCTGTCCACTTCACCCACCTTTAGTATTACGGAACTTTTAAGATTTGACCTTATTTGCTTATTTATTGAATTGTCCCCGTATACACACGTATTACTATCTTCGTTATTCTTATCGCCTCCTCCATAAAGCTTATTATCCTTGTTACTTTTGTTATCACTATAATCATCGTTATAACTGACGTTCAAAACATTCAACACATTATTATTGTTGTTTTTATTATTTGATCCACAAACTCACCGTCATTGGTTAGACTCTGGTTTTATATATAAATCTATGTAGATTAGAGTAAAGCCTGAAGAGGATCTAATCGAAAACAACAATATTGTTAGCAAATATTTTTTGTTCTAATATGATTTCCATCCAAACCTATATATACATATATCCTTCTAAACTTTCTTCAGATATATAACAGGCCTTTTCAGTAGTGTAATTGAAGATCAATGTAGATGAATTTTTTTAAACGTAAACATGAAACACAACAGAATCGGAAAAGCAAGACAAGCTTTCACTACTACTCTCAAGTCTGTGTGGAGGTAAACAGCACTACTCAGCATCAAAAATAAGATCCGGATTTTCAACTCCAATGTGAAGTCAGTCAGTGCTACTCACTATACGGATCAGAGACTTGCACTGCGCGTCATAAAGAGCATCTCAAACAAACTACAGACCTTCATCAACAGCTAGTTGTCATCGCTCAATACTCAAGATCAGATGGCCGGCCAGGAAAGATCAGCAACAGAGATCTCTGGCAATGAGCGAACCAACCAGGAACCGATTGTGAAACAAATAGGGAGGAAGAAATCGAGATGGATTGGCTGGCCATACTCTGAGGAAACCACCAAGTGAGTGACATCACTAGACAAGCCATTGCTTGAGTGGAACCCGATCGAAAGGGAAGCGGCGAGTTGGTCGTCAGTGCGAGGGTGGGTGGGTGACTTGGAGGAGGTGATGTGAAGAGGAGATGAAAACGTGTGGACAGACTTGGAGCCAGGTGAAGACTCTAGCAGAGAACCGAACGCAATGGAGACGCACGGTTGAAGCCCTATGTTCCTCTAGGAATTAAAGGATACAATAATAATAATAATAATATAGATATATATGCATATACTACTTAAATACACAGGCGTATATTCAAGGAAATCATCTTACTGGTATTTGACTTGACTCCATATTTAAGCTGAACAATTTCTGGCGAACAAGACGTGTGCAAATCTAAAAATATTAAGGGGAATAAGAAATAAACGATAACAAGATAAGCAACTGGCTGACGCAAGCACGGACCATGATTCTTACTCATATAGAAGCACTAAATGACTGACTGACTGACATTTGTGTTGATAATGCGAGTCTTGTTGAGGCGGAGTGAAGCAGATAATTTGCGATAATTTGGTTTCAGGTTGATGAAGACGTATCTTACCTCTCGGATTCTGGTTGATAGATTGACTGGCTGACTATCTTTTACACCTTGATCTCTTACGACTGCCTGTGGTTGAAACGATGCTGGCTGCCTAGGCTAGATAAGTGAAGGCAGAAAATAACCTCTTTCTATCATTGATGGTGATTCGTACTGATTCCATTATGGGTAAATTTTATTTTGATAGAGTCTCACAGTGTTATACAGTAATATTTACTGATGACGTTTCGAGCACAATTTATTGCTCATAATCATATCAAGTTAATCACACGACTTCCTAAATTCATTTATTTGGTTCCATTGTTTTTCACTTGATTTGATTGGTAGTATTATTTTCCATACCTCAGGTATGAGTGATGATTCATTCCTATTGCATGTGTTGGGTGTAGATTCGATGAACAAAGATTCAGTAATCAACCTCGCTCTCCACCTACCTAGATTACTTTTTAGAATTTTAACCCTCCCCCACCCTATTGTGTGGTTTTGTGTTAATGCATGCATTGCAATTGCTGAACTTATTTCTAAATTACTTATCTTCTCTGGGTCAACCATTCTTACCTTAGCTAAATTCTTATGTTCTGACAATCTGACTACCCCTGACCTACTAGTTTGACCTTTGTAGTTGACCTCACAGTCATTGCAGGGTATTTTGTAAATTATATTATTTTGTCTAATTGGGTCCACTGGGTCCTTTAACCTACAGAGCTTGTCCCTGAGTGAGTTTGTAGGTTTAAATGCCACTCCACCTAATTCCTGCTTTATTTAGAATCCTACGTAGGGTCTCAGATGTCCCTTCTTTATATGGTATAACTGTCGATGACTTATATTCTCTCTTATTTATGTTATTATTATTAGTTTCACAATTCTTTTTATTTTTCTTTTGGCGTTTTTCAATCTTCCTAATGAATTTTAGAGGATAGTTATTTAAAACCAACGCCTCTTCTTCTATCTGTTTTATTTCATCATTTAGGTCTTTTTTTGTGCTACTTAGTGCCATTGCTCGGTTTGTTAAACACTTAACTAAGCCTGCCTTAACAGTTAAAGGATGAGATGAATTAAAGTCTAAATATCTATTAGAATGCGTTGGTTTTCTATAAACACTAGTGTGTAGTTTGCCTTCTTCTATTCGTTTTATTTTACAATCTAACATAGCTAATTCTCCTTGCTCATTTTCGGCTTCAAATGTGAACTTTATCCCCTCTACTAGTGAGTTAATATGTGTCAAGAAGCCAGAGAGAGATATGTTCTGTTTTTAACACTGTGTGAGAAAGTGTCATCCACATATCTCCACCATATTTTTGGAGTAGGATTAAACGTATTAAGTGCCATATTTTCCCAGCTATCCATAAATATATCTGCTACGATAGGGGATATTGGTGATCCCATTGCTACACCTTCAGTTTGTCTATATATTTTGCCTTGGAATTTAAATATAGTAGATGTGAGGCATAGCTGAATTCCTAAAATAATTTCTTCAATGGACAGCTTTGTTCTATGATTGAGTTCAGCATCTGTAGTTAGTTCCTTTTTAACTGCTTCTAAGGCCATATTGACTGGTATATTAGTATAAAGACTGGTTATATCAAAACTAACCATTGTTTCATCATTATCTAGTTGTATGTCATTTAGTTTATTTTTCATTTCATATGAATTAGTTAGCCTAGAATTTGAACGATTTCTAATGGGGCATAATATTAGAGCTAAATGTTTTGATAATTCATATGTAGGGGTATTTCTAAAATCTACTATTGGTCTTATGGGATAACCTGGCTTATGTATTTTAATAGTACCATACATCCTACTAGCATTATTAGTTTTAGGCATTCAATTAAACCATTTTGACTCACCCAGTGACGGCTTCATTCTGCGTACTAATTCCGCTGTGGATTTTTTAACCTTATTCATTATTGTGTCTACGGGCTTCTTAATTTCCTCATATGGACCCATTTCAATATGTTCATTGACTTTCTTGATGTAGTCAGATTTATTCAAAACTACGGTGGCGTTTCCTTTGTCAGCTTTTGCGATGACAATATTTTTATCCTGTTTTAGATTAATTAAAGCTTCTCTTTCCGATTTTGTCAAGTTTGATTTTGCCTTCTTTTGATTTTTTAGGGTTAATGCACATTGTGCTCGAACCTCTTCTGCTGTTGTTTTATCTATTGAACCTAGTGCTACTTCTATGTTAGGAATGACATCCTCTGGTTTTAGTGCTCGAAACGTCATCAGTAAATATTACTGTATAACACTGTGAGACTCTATCAAAATAAAATTTACCCATAATGGAATTACACTCTACCACAGTGCCCAAGTTTTATTCTTATATCAATTCGTACTGATTGTTGTTGTTGTTGTTGCAGTTAGTGTTGGTGGTGGTGGTTTTTTATCTTCATCACTTCCATCTCCACCTTCTCAATGTTCATCACCTGGATGGAGTCAGTCGTGTCTTCGCTGCCGGCCAGCCTCTACAGCCAGTTTTCGCCTGCCTGCCCGTTAGTTTTTGAGTTTGTATTTGTGTGTCATTCAATGGCATAAATCACCCACACGCGAATTCAAGATCTTCTAGAGTCTTTTTATCGGTGACTGCAGCGTGTTCCTTCCTGTCTTCTCACTAACTCCCTGTGCACAGTCTGACGCATAATCCACTCCACCATAAATGGGAATATCATCGTTGGTGGTAATAGGCAGCCAGCCAGCTTGTCTTACTCTTTTATGCACTTCGAACCACTAAGGGTGCCCACATTTTATGCTTCTGAAAGACTTCTGTACTTGAAATACTGAGAAACCCTGAAGAAAACCTTCTTCGCAGTTGAACTTCGAATGACTTCCTCTACGAAACTAGTGATTCACATGAATGTGAAGAATGGATAAGCCACCACCACTGATGACCTTATCAATGGGTATCTCTGCCGATTCACCTGCTCCACCTGTGGAGTTAGCTATGTTGGGGCCATACCCAGCATTCGTTATCCAAAGGTGTATCTATCATCGAACGCTTACCCACAGTCATGGTTTTATAAAGGAGAAAAAAGATCCCCCACGTTGCCCCAGCCCCAGCCCCAGCTCTATCCTGGAACACAAACCTGATCGAATCAAGACAGCAAGCTGGCACACAAAACAACGCTAAAGTCATCTACAGAGTACGTGGGAATATTGCTAAAAAAACGAGTACGAATCAAACTTCTTCAAAGCACGCAGAAGCTATGGTGATTCATCGCGAACTCTGAATACAAAAGAAGTTTGTTCAAATCATCAAATCTACAATAGAGCTGATCTACCCCTTAACATCGGATGCATGATTTTTGTTGTTGTTGTCTTTTTTTCTTCTTAAATTGTATTACCCCAGTGCTTCACCCGCTTGTATTAAATCTCCTTATTAACTAACTTGCCTCTCGTTCAATTTTCGCTAGATTCCACTCTGTGCCGTCAGTTATATTACGTCATTCAATCTACTTATTTTGGTCTCTGCCCGATTAATGCTTCTTTCTATTGTGTATTGTGCGTCGGTGGCACAGTGGTTAGGACTCTCGCCGACCATGCACATGGTCCGGGGTTCGATCCCCTGCCGGCGCACACCCGATATCTACGGTCGGCCTGAATTTGGGCTACCGATATCCATGCTGAAAATTCCACACTTGTACTGAAAATACGGTGTGGAATCAAGCTATAAATCAAAATAAAAATTTTAAAAAATTTTAAAAAATAATTGTAATTTGTTATCTCTAGAACACTTAACAATAACTAATGATACATCTTCCTTAACTGAACTTAATGACTTAGGAATCGACTTGTTACCAGGGAATAGTCTTATGGACTTAGAATATGCAGATGACGTAGTCCTGTTAGAGGAGGATGCTGACAAAATGCAGAGTCTTCTGAACACCTTGAGCAGCAATCTTCGTATGCTTGGAATGCGATTCGCCCCTGTACAATGTAAGATGCTGATACAGGACTGGACTACGTCAACTCCTAGCTTAGTGATAGATAGTGAAGTGTGAGAACATGTCGACCACTTCACCTATTTCGGAAGTTGTATCAGCACCAACGGATTGATTGGTGACGAAATCTCAGCACGGATCCGATCCAAAAAGCTCGAGTTGCTTTCGCTAACTTACACCATCTCTGGCGTAGGCGTGACATCCGGCTATCAACCAAGGGACGTGTGTACTGCTCAGCAGTTCGCTCCGTCCTTCTCCATGGCTCTGAAACATGGCCAATACTAGTTGAAGACATGAAAAGGTTGACTATTTTTGATCATAGATGTCAACGATCTCTTTCTCACATTAGGTGGTATAATTAGGTAAGTAATGTTGACGTTAGGTTAGGCGTAGAGTGTTGGGTAAAGAGGGAAAATCAACCGAAGAGGCTATAAAGTCACATAGATTGAGATGGCTAGGTGACGTGCTGTGCATGCCTAACCATCGCCTCCACCTCCCGACGAGCATTACTAGCTGATATAGGTGCAGGTTGGAAAAGAGTAAGTGGTGGCCAAACAAAAACATGGCCTCATCAATCCATGAAATCCTTGACAGTTAAACTGAGTCAGTCAGGTAGGGAGGGAGATGCAGACTCCCGGGTTGGGGCCCTCGGGACTCTAAGAATCAATGGCTGGAGACAATAGGTGACATGGTTCAAAATCGTTGTCAGTGGCTTACGCAGATGTATTCAGTCTCTGTAATCTTTCATACTCCTTTCTACCATTACTCATTCTGTTTCACTCTTATACTTGTCAAAAATCTATTGATTCTCTTCACTCATCCATCTTCTTGTCTACCTTTGTGTGCTATTTGGAATGTGGCACCTCGAACTGCTGCACTTCGGTGCCAAGTTCTATGTTGAATCCAGGCAGACAGAATGACACATCTTCGGGACACATTCTTTTTTTATTACTAACTATGATTCACAAAAATAGAATAGAATAAAAAATTTAAAAAAGAAAAACAAGTAGACCTACCGCACGAATTATCTCTTGTCTCTTTAATAAAGGACCCATTGGAGTCATTTTAACGGAGAATGTTTCTCCTGTATGAATGTGACGAAGTATACCCTCTAAAATGTATATTTTTTTAAAATTCGAAGTTTAGAGATATTATGAGTCTATATATATATATATATATATATATATATATATATATAAAAGCCTATGATATTGCAGAAATGAATAGTCAACTAAATATTGAATACCTCAAGTAGCCAGAGCCTATCATCCTACAGCTGGTCAAGTTGGTGTTCCCGTTTATCGGATAACATGCCCCATTTTGACGCAATCAAAAGTCGACAGACACGCACTTCTCTCGTGTTAACAACAACAACAACAACAACAACAACAACGTGTAACTGGGGGAACAGTTACATTAGAAGAGAAGAGAGAGAAGGGGAAGGGCACATCTCCGATTTTTTGAGCATCTACCAAAAAAGCCTACGTCTCAAGGGAACAAATGCTTTCAACAGTGGCATTGATAGGCATCACATCTTGACAAGGATCATAAGCTGGACAATGCAATGGGTAAGGCAGTTCAACTTTCTTCAAGCTTACTGAAGCAATCACCACCGAGCGCCTGAAACCCGATTTATGTGTACAGAAAGAAGCGGTTAGTTAGCATCAGTCTTTCCTTGTCCTTGTGTAACTAACTGATTGTCTTTATTCTCTCTTCCATGTGATCAGGTAATCTTTGGCTTTAAGCCCCCCACCCTCTTTCGTAAAGTGTAATTTTGCTTGTCTCTTGTTTCCATGATTTCCGTTGAACTGAGTACATACATTGTTACCTAATTTATTAGTTACTCATCCATCATCTTACGCACCTCTCTTCTTTATTACGTAACTCCTTTGCCATCGTATGCATACAATTACTTTGTTTAAACTTGAACTCCTTGTGTAAAAATTATGTAAGCGCAATTTTCTGAGCACTGTTCACTAAGACCAGAACCTCCTGTCAACTAGCATCAAGTAAAATTTGCAAGTATGTTAAAACATTTCTGTACATAAACTCAACAATAATTTATTTAGGCTCTAAGCAACAGCTGATGAGAAACCGACGAACGAAATAAACCATGATGGTACCATACTATTCAGTAAAACTGTTGTTCTTGCTTTATTCAGATTTACAAAGAGGAATAAATGCATGAAGAAAAACCAAAGATTCGGTCCACTCCTAGCTGACAGTTTCACGGTGAGTCTCGAAAACAACATCCTCCATCCTTTGATCAGTCAACTGCACTTATACAGGAAATAAGCGTAGATGATACGTTCACAATTTGTGATGAAAACGTTGATTTAGAGTACCTCCTCAAAACCTTCAACGCAGCACACCCATCAATAAGATCCATCTTAGAACGCGAATCAAACATGACATCTCAATTCCTGGGTGTACTACTTACCAGAAGACAAGACTGCACGATCCAGAGATCAATATAAATCGGAAACCAACATGTACGGGACAGTTTATCAACTTTCAGAGCTTCGTCCCACTGGTGCGAAAGCAAAATCAAGGATTCGAAAAATCTGTTCGGAAGACACACTAGAGAATGAGTTGAATTCATTACGTGAAAAACCCTACTAGAGAATGGGTATCCATGAAGATTGATCGGGAAAATCCGAAGAAAACTCTCTTCATGAACCTGGAATCCAAAGGTGACATCGAAGTACAAATTCTTAGAAACCACCTTTCTAAACGATATAAGCGTTATTTTCTGAGCACTGTTCACTAAGTCCAGAACCTTTTGTCAGCTGATATCAATTCATATTTGAAAGTATATTAAATTTGTTTCTGTACATGAAGTTAACAATAATTTATTGGGGCTGTAAGCAACAGCTGATGAGAAGTCAACGAAATAATTAGTGATGGTACTGAATTATTCAGCAAAGACTGTTGTTTTTGCTTTATTCATATTCAAGAAGGGAAATGAATTTATGAATTTTTTAATAATTTATACCTTTACCTTGACTCCTGGAGCAAGTTGCAGAAAAAAAAACAGTGAGTGTTTAATACAACTGTACAGTTGACTCAACTTCAACAAGTGTGAAATGGAATTCGAACCTGTGACAGACTAGTTCAAGTGTAACTGTATAGACCAATAAATCATAAATCGCTTTGAAAGTAGAACTTCAAGTTAATCCTCAGGATAGCGACGAAGCATCCGTACTAGGATCTGATATGTCAGGTGGAGATGAACATTTTGGTCTGACAGGAAAATCAAAATACTCAATCATACACAAATTAGAACTAAACCAACATAAGTCGTATGCACGTTATATACGTAAATGTGCAATTAATATTAGGCGAATTGATTTGGCCGTCGGTGGCGTAAACGTAGAATGCTCGCCGACCACGCATGTGATCCGGGGTTCGATTCCCGGCCACCGACGCACTCCTTTACTTCGCTAAACCACTAATAAGATTGGTAAAAAGGCAAGGTTGGGCATGAGGCTGGCTAGCAACCCCATCCTGTAAAAATAAACTCTACTGCTACAGAAACTTCAATCCTCTAGCTTGAAGCCCCCTATGTTCCATTGGGAATGTAAAGGAATACAAAAAAAAGTGATTTGGACTGTACTCCCACAACAAGCCAAATTAAATAAAATCTGACTACAAGACAAAGTTGCCTGGAGTTATAGTGACAAGTCGTGACCAGTACAGTCCATTCATTAGGCAGAGAGGATGGAGTTTCCACCGATGACATTGGTTGGTGGTTGCGCTAAAACCACCAATTGATAGAAGTTAGAATCCATGGGCTGGTCATTGAATCGGGTCACAGTGTCTGAATGGTCCACGAGCTAGCTCGTCTTATAACCGGAAGGTCCTGCCTGGGTTTGAAGCCCAAAGGGTACATAGTACCGACGAGTCCCAAACTAGGACGAAACAGCTCCCCAGTACTTCTTTACTGGTTTTCAAAGGTTCTCTAACTGATATCAATCCGTGGTATAACCTGAAAAAAAGGAATCACTACAACAAGCAATTCTTGGAATATATATATATATATATGTCATTGCCACTGTCATTATGACATACACTTGATGTGTAAATATACCTACCTGAGTCAAAATCATAACAAAATTCCGAAACGTGATGATAAATTGGACGAATTAGTTCAGCTGGATTTGGTGAGACTGCACGAATCTGTGGAGTCGTGTGATGACTACTGCAATGTTCACATTTTTCTTCACAATCACAAATTACAATTGTATCACTTCTCATTTATTTACTGAATAGCTAGTGAAACGCTGAAAGGAAAGGAAACAACCGAGAGTGAATATTCACATGTAAATATGAAAGAAGTGTGAGAAGGACAGTGGCAAGTACATGTATCTAGGGTAAATAATTATCTTAGCATTTGCAATACTACTAATAGTAGAAATTATTGTTTTAAAAAAAAAGGTGGATTCCACTGTGTCAAAAGCTTGCAATCCCAACCGTTCATTTTGAAATCATCAGGTCTGAGAAATAATTTCGAACAGTGAGACATACAAAAACAAAGAATTCAGTGAAGAAAATTCTCTTTTCGACGATTTCATTTTCATATGAATTATAACAAAATAGTCAGAGCGAACAATTGTCGCTTTCAATAAATTCTTCCTTCTTCAGGCTGCTCTACAATTATAAATCCATTAATTAATTTAAGCATACAATAGCCAGCCAGCCAGCCAGCAAAAGCAAATTAGAACCACATAAGAAATGTGTATTGTGGAACAAGTATAAGTTGGGATGGAACATTGGTCAGTTAGTTTTTGAATATGCATGGTCAATGAGAACATGTGATAAAATGAGATGATATAATTTAATAACGTGTGTATATAAATAGATAAATGTAGTCAACAAAAGTACAGGTCTTGAGGGTGTGTAATCAGTGGTGTGTGAGACAATATAAATACTACAGAATATAAACTAGTGAATGGGGTAGACTAGACGTACGTTCATGGGTGAAAATAACGACAATAATAATGAGAATAGAATAATAACAATGATGTGATGTAAACTCAAAAGTACTATTGGTGAATGATTGTCAAATAATAATAAATTTAGTGAAGTGGAATGAACAGGATTTTGTAAATATGATAACTAGTTAGAAAAGAAGCAATTAAACCAAAGGTGATGGAAATTATAAGAAAGGTCATGAAGTTGTATAGGTCAGAAATAAACGTTTGCCAGTAAAACAAAAGAATAGAAGATAGGAATTTAAAGTGCTAATGTTTATGGAAGATTTGTTGGCCTTACTGTAGGCCAAGGTAAACATAGAGGTTGAGCACACTTCTGTATACAAACAGCCTGTCTTCTGGTATTGATTGCTACCGCTTCAGCCAGTGAAAGAAGATGTAGTCGAGCTACTCTAAATAGATTACCAGTAACGCAGTAAATAACAGAGAACACATGGTCAAGTTTTATCTGGTGTCCAGTATCTACCAAGTGGGCTAAGCCTGCACTATTTAAGCATTTGGTTAACCCTTTACTCAACCATACAGGTACATGTTCACGTGCGCGCATGGATAAAGCCCTCTGAGTACGGCCAATGTAACTAGCTCCACATGAGCAGTTGAATTCATAGATGAGGCTATTTTTGTTAGTTTATCCTTAACTCGTTGTGTGAATACTGGTTTAGTTGGGAAGCTGAGTACTAGTTTAGCTGCAGGAAATATTCTCTCTACTACTCTATTAAGTCGATATTTTAGAATGTCAGCTGGATTTATAATTGCAGAACCTGAAGAAGGAAGAATTTGTAGAAAACACAATTGTTCAGTATCCATCGTTACCCTATCTCTAGGTATTGACATACACTTTTTAGGAAGTTCTCTGGATATCCATTTTCTCGTGATGTAAGTTTCAGTTTAAACACTTCTTCCTTAATGCATTCTTCTGAACATATGCGTTTTATTCTTCAACTAAAACACCTAAGTTTATTATTATAGACAATAACAATCGGTTTTGTCTTGTGGGTGCATTACATACACTGCGAAATCACAAAATAACAATGAAGGCAGAACGATTCTCACTGTAATAATATGATTTCACCTCCTAAAGCATTTTGTTGGAGACGAACTCAAACTTATAAGAGATGGGCACAATCGGTAAAGAACATAAGTTAGTAAAGAACACGCCAGGCTGTAGAAAGGTAATATCCTATTTAAAAAGATCATTGAGAAAAACGTTCACTGGTGCCACTTAAGGAATAACCTACTCTAGCAGTTCACCGGTGCACTTTAATATCAAGGCAGTGTTACCTCGATTGTTTACCTGCTCTTGCGAAGCTAGATACATAGGACGTCCATTGAGAAATATATACCACCGCGTTCAAGAGCACCTTCCAGTTTGACTGAGCAAAGGAGAAAGTATAGGCACTAATTAATCGATATTGCAACTTATTGTAGACACTAACCACGACGCAGCATCTGACACATCGTTTAATATAGTCTACAAAGTTCGACAAAGTTTACTGAAAGGGACACGAGTGCATTTGTTTTGTATAGCATAGGCTTTGACAATGCATAACATAAAACCAGAACTTTGTGTACAAAAACTATTGGTAAGATCTCTTTCGTCGCCCCATGGTCTTGATTTTACTATGTAATTCACAAACAAACAAAACTTCGTTATCCTTCTTTATGCCATGTTCCATTTTGCTTTATTCGATTTCACTTCATATTATCATATGCCACCATTCTTTTATTGTCTACTATTTTGACAACATTTCACTCTGTATCTCACTAGTATTTCCACTGGCTGTCAAACTTTAACACACACACAAAGAAACTGATTGTTATTGTCTATTGTAGTCCATATATATATATATATATATATATATATATATATATATATATATATATATATATATGATTGTACAACTTTGACAATGAAATCGTCCGAAAGAGAATTTTCCTCACTGAATATTATATTATTAGTGATATTACTAGTATTATCCATTTCTTGTGTTTCGAGTGAAATATAGGGTTTCAGTAGCACATTTATTTCATTGTATTTTGTTCTCTGAGATAATTTTCAACTGGCTGCATAACTAACCACAAGCTCGTATTACCACCTTACACGATCTCCTTCATATCACCCTCGGACGCCAAGTTATCATGCTTTGCTGTCATGAACTTGGTGCAAACTAAAAGTCAGCGCATTAAAGTTGAGGTGAGCGTTTCACTTACACTGTATGAAAAGCCTAGAGAAGGAAAAAACAAAGTACAGCATTGCTTCTACTACTGACAACACAGTGGATTTTAGGAAACAGAGAAGTGTAGAAAAAGACTGAACAAATAAATAAATAAATAGTCATGACTTTTGAGTAAAAAAAAGGGTGTACACCTATCAGCACCTATCAAACACTACACGTCTCCCAGATTATCATTGCATCAAATAGTGTTACATCCCAAGGCAATTCTTCACAAGAGAGCCACTCGATGCAGCACATCTGCTTCATACATTATTGAATAACTGAGGTTCGAACTAGCTGAGTAGTCTTTTAGTAATGGTCACTGTAGATATAAATTTAGATATCTGTAATTTCAATATCTCCGGCAAGAAAAATCACTACTTGTCTTCTCTGTTGCCTTCACAGCAAGTAAAATTTTCAAGGCATTGAAAAAATTTCGGGGTGTATTGGGAAAATGGTGATAATATGATGCATTTCTCTAAAACGAGAAAAGTTTCCACAAATGTTCCGAAAGAGTTTAAAGTCCCCAAATATCATTTAACAGGGTGATATAATAGGGAAAGTGAATTATAGTAGTATTATCTGAGCTGGTTGGCTCATTTGTGGAGCTACAAATCTCTTTTATAGTTAAAGGGTGTCGCACTTTATACAGAAGTAACGGAGCAAAAATAAATGACAGAAATAGAGAAGCGAGGGATAAATTATTGAAAAGCAGCTAAATGAAATACTAACGTTATAACTGTCATTATAACCTGAATCTAATGACTCATAAACTAACAGTAGGCAGTTTACTCCTCATAGAAAAGATGAAACATTCTATGAGTTTTCTCAAAAGTCACACTTACTGTAACAGATGAACTGACAGAAACAGACGACCTTGTGAACACACTTACCGGGTTGTCCTTGTTTAGCAAGTGGTCAATGTGTAACACTCAAAGACAACAGGCACAGCCAATGAAGGGAGAACACGAAAATGCGGGAGAAAAGGTCTTCATTAACACCATGCAAGATTTAAAACTGCCCGGGTACAAAGTTATTTATCATCATTTATAAGAAGTTTCGACAACCGGTCTTCTTCTTCCTCCAGCAGGGCCACGTCTGCGTTCCTTTCTGAAAAATAGGAAACAGGAAACTCGTTAAGTGATATCATACAAGTTTTTATATCATTACATCGCTCCCTCCCCTCTGAAGGCACTGTCCTCAGTGCCGGACGGCGGTATTGGAAATGCACTACCTCCTTCGGTAGGCACCTCGAAGTAGGTCGTAGCGGGCGGTGGTTGCGAAGGTGTTGACGGGTCGTTGACAGCTGCTGGATAGTGGGATTTCAGCTAGTTGTAATGCGCGGAGATGAGCTTTTCTTGGGGACGTTGCAGGTTCCGCAGGATATACGTAGTCGGGGGTTGATGCTGTACAATTTGATATGGACCTTGCCAGGGCGTGTAGAATTTGGGGCACGAGCCGGTAGGGGCGGACGGACGATGGAGCCACACGTAGTCGCCCGTGGAATAAGTGGGACCTTGGGCAAACCTGTCATAACTGCTTTTCTGATGTTGCGAAGAAGACTTTAGATGACGACGTGCCAGATTGTAGGCTATATCGAGGTGGTGGCGAAGGTTGCGGACATAGGGAATCAAGTCGATCTTCTCATATGGTAGCAACGGTCTCCGGATCCCGACTGGCAGGCGAAGTTCACGCCCAAACAAGAGCAGAGCTGGAGAAAATCCTGTGGACGAGTGAACGGAGGAGCGGCATGCAAGCAGGCACTGGGGCAGGGCATCGTCCCAGGTGTTCTCTGGTGCATTGTGCAAAAAGGCACGGAGATGCTTGATTGTTCTGTTGGTGCGTTCTACCAGTCCATTACCTTGTGGGTGATAAGGCGTAGTATGGGTCTTTCGGATGCCGAAAGCATTGCAGATGTGAGCGATCAGAAGACTCTCAAATGCGGCGCCTTGATCGGAGTGTAGATAAAGGGGGGCACCAAAGCGGGACACCCAATTGTCAATGAATGCGCGCCCAATCGTCGGTGCATTTGTTGCTGCAGAGGGACCACTTCGCACCACTTGCTGAAGTAGTCAACCATGATGAGTATATACCGATTACCACGTCTCGATGTTGGTACTGGCCCAATAATATCTACTCCCACTCGATGATTAGGGCCTTCGGTCAACATAGGTACTAAGGGTGCTTCGGGGGTTGCGCACATATAGCGCAATTGCGGCAAAACTCCGTGACATCATGGTGAATAAGTGGCCACCAGAAGCGTTGACAGATGGCGTGTTCAGTTTTCTGTTGGCCAGCGTGTCCCAGTTGCTGATGTACTTGACTAATGAGCTCGGGTACTTTATCGGTTGGGACGAGTAGTCGGGGAGTGGCATTTGGTTCCACTATGTAAAGAACATCATCGATGAGTCGTAGTAGGCCCCATTTATCGCAGATGCACCGAGAAGCGGCTGGTAAGTCCCGTAGTTCTCTGGACGTCGGTTTGTCGTTCTCATGCTGTTGTCTTAAATAGATGGGCTGTATTGCTGTGTCCGCCGCTTGTAGGGAAGCCCAGTCGGTGTCAGCTGCAGCACCGAGTAACACATTCAAGGTGTTTTCGCAATGTGGCAGGCGGGAGAGAGCGTCGGCGTTACCATGTCGTTTTCCGGGCCGATATTCGCACGTGAAATCAAACTCCTGTAAACGTTCTTGCCAACGAGCAAGTTGGCCCTCGGCATCGCGAGAATTTTGTAGCCACTGTAACGCCTTGTGGTCAGTCCGTACTCGAAATTTGCGCCCCAATAAGTAGTGGCGAAAGTATGTAAGAAAGTATACGAGGGCTAACATCTCACGGCGTGTTGTGGAATACCGCGTCTCTCTTTTGTCCAGCATTCGGCTAGCATATGCTATCACTCGTATTTGCCCATCAGGGGTTGCCTGCGAGAGAACGGCTCCGATTGCGTGTGCACTGGCATCAGTATCCAGGATAAAGGGACCACTGTCAGCCGATGTGTCTGGAAACGATAGAACGGGAGGACAAGTTGGACATTTTTAAGCGTGTCGAAGGCTACCTGGCACTCGTTTGTCCAGACAAATTTCCGTCCTTTTTCTGTCAGGCGATGGAGAGGGGCTGCTATACTGGCGAAATTTTGGACGAAACGCCGGTGATAAGAGGCAAGCCCCATGAAACTGCGTACGTCAGCTGTCGATTTAGGAGTCGGCCAGTTGACACTGCTTGGGTTTTTCTGCTATCTGCATGCACTCCCTGTGGAGTAATGTCATGTCCAAGGAAAATAACAGATTTCTGCAGGAACTTGCATTTTGAGGCTTTCAACTTAAGATTACTCCTGCGTAGACGCTGAAATACGGCTCGAAGTTTGGCACGGTGTTCTTCGACAGACTGGCCGAACACGATGATATCGTCTAGATAGATAAGGCATTGTTTGGGGACTAGCCCGGCAAGTACCGTTTGCATGAGCCGTTGAAACGTGGCAGGGGCGTTAGACAAACCAAATGGCATGGTTTCGAATTCATACAACCCCGTTGGCACAACAAACGCAGTTTTTGGGCGGTCTTCCGGGCGAATTTCAACTTGACAATAGCCGGAAGCTAGATCTAATGTGGAGAACCACTGTGCCCCACCCAAAGCATCTAAGGTAGAGTCTATGCGAGGCAAAGGAAAAGAATCCCGTTGTGTGATGGCATCTAAGCGACGATAGTCTACACAGAGACGGAGGGAACCATCTTTCTTTTTTACGAGAACAATTGGAGATGCCCATGGTGATGTAGACGGTTTAATCACCTTCCTTAACATGTCCATTATCATGGTATCTAGCTGCTGTTGATAATGAACGGGTACACGTCGCGGTGGCATCCGATTGGGCAAGTTATCGCCCGTCTTAATCTCGTGTTGTACCACATTAGTTCGCCCCATTACGTGTCTATCGTCGAAGACATCACTGTACTCCTGTAGCAGGGCCAGAGTGTCTGCACGTTCTTTTGGACTAAGGAGAGGGTTATCATGCAAATTTAACATAGTCATCTGGGGCAAGGCACAGGCATTGGCATACTGTTTGTGGTCGACTGGCTGAACAAATGCAAGGTTATGTGTGCCCAGCCGGATTCGAAAACGTCTTAAGTCAATGATAGCGTTTTGCCCCGTTAGGAAGTCGACGCCCAGTATGGCGTCCCATCGTATAGCATTGCATATGACGAACGACCGAGGGCAAGTAAAACCTTGAAACGTCACGGAGAGGGTGGCAGTGTCCGTTACCTTGATAGGGGCCCCATTAGCAGTAATTAGCT